GGAGATAGGATATCTCCATTAATTTAAAAAAAAATATTTAATTTATTTATTTATCTATGTAATACATTAAATGTATTGTGAGGTATGCATCTGTTACTATTTGTACACTTGTAATGCACCTGCTCCAAGGAGCTGTGCCAGGATTTACAGAACAGGTGCTCAGGTCACAGACAAAGCAACAGTTGGGGGTAGTACTCTTATCTATTTGGGGATTAACTGAACCGGTCTGTCCTCTCACTGGCCAGCAAGAACTGTTGCAGGAACAAATGGAGAGAGACCTGCTTCACTGCAACAAGTAATCTGCAATAATTTTTCCCTCCAGTTAGTGTAGCTAAAGCAATAGAGGATGAATGAGTTCCTTGCCAGCACTCCCAGTCTTAGAAAGAATGTATTTACATAGTCATTGCAGAGAAGAGTTTACTGGCCTATCGATCAACCCCCATAATCCATGTGAACAGCATGGTACTTAATTGCTGCCATTGTTAATTTACTGTACATGCTATGTTGGATGCATACAAGGTTTCCAAACTGTAGTGGATATTTATTTCCTTATAAATCAGTGGAGTTGTACTGATGTAACTGAAAATGGACTTATACTGAATCAAAGTTTAATTAGCAGAGGACCCTTTCTGTAAGGTAAAGCAGGATTCTCAGCCTGGGGGTTGTGACCCAAAATTGCATCAAAGGGTTGCGGGGCTGGCTGGACTCAGCTCCTTGCTCTGGGCATTGTGACCTGGTGCATGGGGTCTCAGCACTGCTCCAGGTTTCGCCTAGCTGCTGCTCTATCATGATGATTGGGGGGGGGGGAGAGAGCGTCTGGGCCAAATTTCAGTGACCAGTATTGCAACCCCAGAGGTTGCAGTACCCAGAGCAGGGAGCCAAACCCAGCTAGCCCTAGGGGACAGGAGCCAGAAGAAGGGTGGTGGTCATGTTCTCCAGTAAGTACTGGCCCCTGATGTATCCCCCGTTCTGCAGCCGAGCAGTGCCGGGGGAGGGGGAACAGCATCGTGTCTGGGGGCATCTCAGGAAGTCTCTGGGTTGTGACAGGCCATCAGGGTTTACAGATGGGTCAGTTGAGAATCCCTGAGGTAAAGAAAACAGGAGGCAAGGAGAAGATTGTGGGAAGCTGAAGAAAATGTTTAGCAGTTCTCGCAAAATCCTTCTTTTCCCTGATCTTAGCCTGGGCACATTGGCCAAAAGATGATTACTTCTGCCACTATTGCTTGTTCTAGCCAAACTTTGGATCCGAGACCATGATAAAGAGTAATTTCATACTGCAGGTGATTTTGCTCTGTGGGTATTGGGAAGAAATGACATGGCATCTTGCCAGCAAATTTTGGATGCTGGATGTTTGAATTAAACTAAAGATCAAAATCCATGGGTGCCATGGATATTCAAGAGTTAACAGATGTGTTAACATTTAGCTGGAGATACCTAATCAGAATGACTGACTCCTTGATGACAGTAGACTTGATTGCACTAGCATTCCTTACAACTTTCATGTGGTATTTCTTCATTTGTTACGTCTCAGTTGCAGTTGTGCAGGATTTTCCCCCTCTCTTCAGACTATGTAATTGTTGTATTACCTTTGCTGATTAGACAATTTGTGGTGTTAAATTGCTTGTGAAGGAATTTTTTTGTTGGTTTGAAGTGCATCCCTCAGTGCACAAATAGTTGCAGTGTTTGAGCTCTGGTTATATAATTTATCATTTGAATCTAATACTTTTTGTGCTTCTAGTTCCCAGACTTGGGTTTCCTGGGATAATGGACTTGAAGTGGAGGCATAACTTTTTTTTGGCTGAAAATAAAATATTTTCCACAGTTTCATCACCTTCCTTGCTGTTAACTGACCTGAAACTAACATAAGGTGCAGAACATTGATTGAAGTAAATTGGGAGTCTTTCCACTGAATTTAAGGGGAGTTGGATCAGGCCCATAGAGACCTCAAAGTTCGGATCCTTGTTGCTTTGCTGCTTGTTTTCTCCCCCACACCCGTTTTTTTGTATATAATTTGCAGTTTGGAGTTAATCTGCATACTGTTTAGATGCTCCGTTAACAGTTCAGATGTACATGGTGGCAAAATCAAGGATTGCTTTATGTTTCTCACTGCCATGTAATGATGCATCTTATGCCTTTCCGTAAGAAAGGCCCTGCGTACTCTCCAGCAAGCTGGACTAAAATCTGTGGCAAGGCTCTCTGCTTTTTTTGTGGCGTTTTGGTGAAAGAAACTGGAATTTCTGAGGCATGTTCAAAATAGAGGGTCTTACTGAATTAAAAATATGAGTGAGTAATTTCATATGAAAATGGCAATGAATATTGTAGTGATTAAAGTCTTGTTCTTTCCTAAATAAAACACAGTACCTCAAATGGCTTTATAGGCTTTCCTATTCATTGTCTCATTGATTTCCATACCAAATTTGCTCAGATTGCAGATAGACAATTTTTTTTCCAGCTGTCAGCCCTGCAGACTTACCCTTTGCTGTTAAAGGCAGGTTGGGTTCTTTTAGTTATCTCCACTAATAGCAGTTCTGCAGGCCAAATTATGCCCTCCATGATCTATGTAGCCCTGTCAAGGAAACAGGAAGCTGGTTTTGGAACCAGATAAATGGGTTGAGGCTTTTGACACTGGGAAAGGGCGGATTAATCTTTTCTTTCCCTCCTGTTCCCTGTTGTTTTCTCCTCTGGACAGTAGTTGTTGGATGGTGATGCAGCAATCCTTGACAGTGGTCAACTCTCTCCTTCCCCATCCATGACTGCATGCAACAAAAATGGGCAAACACATTAGCTAGAAGTATCTGCTAAACAATCAGCAGTAAAATAATTATACATTTTGATTTTCAAATGGCATTATTAGGGTTCAGAATGTCCACTATTGAGATGAATGGGGCAGTTCAACCTCTCAAAGCTAATGTTTCAGGCCGTCTGCCCCTCAGGAATATGGATCTGAATCAGTGCCCATTTGGAAGAACATGTTCACAACTATAAGGGCTAGAAACTTTTAAAATTTAAGTTTAGATTCTTGAGCACAATTCTGTGGTAGGTGCTTGCTCCATAAATTCTGTGGCTAAATAATTGCAGAATACACCGTTCCCTACTCATATCTTTTGTAATGGGATGAAAATTGAGGGTGCAGTAGTTGCCTCAAAATATTTTTTTAAAATTTAAAACAAAAAACATAATGTTTAGGATGCTGGTGTTTTCAGATTCTTATTATTTGCTACACATGTAATATTGCTACAATCTTTTATATTTAATAATTTCTAAACATTAAAATTGCTCCAGTAATTTTTTCTTTAAAATAAGAACAAATTTGTTGATTTTATTTGTTTATTTTTAGCACAAAGGTGCTAAACTATAGAAGTCCCTAAAGTAGTAAGGGAATAAAAAGCATTATATTAAAGTGCTAAGTATTACTGCACTTACCACTCTCTGGGAACAGGCTACAGGAGGGGAAAGAATAAAAGGATGATAAATATTCTTAATTTCTCTAGTGAGAGGGGGGGAGTCTTGATTCTGAAAACTTCCAGGTGGTTTGGTCCTGCTTGTAGTGGTGTTGAGCACTGTGCCACAATATTGTAACTTCATGATAAAAATGCTGTGCTTAAGGAACTAATAGCATTCTTATCATAAAAGCTGTAATGTTCATATCTAAGCTAGGCAGTATCCTTATTTTACAAATGGGGAAACTGAGGCAGAAATTGTCTTATCGAAGACCCCAAAGGAAGTTAGTATTTGAGCCAGGATTAGAGTTTGGGAGTTCCTTGTTTCCAATCCTTTGCTCTGACCACATCTCTTTTTTAGCTGTAGGGAGGATGGCAGAGTCATGTGTCTTTATTCTTGTATATAGTAAAAAATCAAAGAATCTAAAGCTCTCAGCTTTGTATAGGCTTTCTGGCAAGCAAAAATATATCGCTCTGCATCAGATACAGTGTTGTCACAGGGTTCGGTTCTGGCAAACTGAAATGCCTGCCAGCTGTGCTGGGAAGTCTCAGAGAGATTATGTTATAGGAGTGGGTTTTGAGGTCAGGAAAATCCTTTTCTTAGGCCAAACTCCTCCAGGGTCCATTTGGATGGGTAGTCTAAAATACTGACCCTTGACCTTTGTGCATGTGGTGCATGAGTACTCCTGTGCTCAGAGGTACCCAGATGTTTCCAAGCCAATGTATTCCTCTCCTAAGAGAGGTCTTAAATCATTAAAGTTGAGAGCTGAATCAGTTTCATACTATATATGGTGTTCATGCAAGTGATAGAAATCTGAGTGTATTTATAACACTGGTTTGCCACAGTAATGTGGATTGGGAACAAATGCTTTTTTGGATAATAGCCAATGCTTAGGATTGGTTTTACAGTGGCGTGTAAAATCAGTATATCGCTTGTAAAGCCATCAGTTGAAAAACTGATGGGGGCTTCTTAAAAAAACAACAAAAAACTTGAATTTGGAGAAGCAATATATGCCTAGATGCATACTTGTGATGTATCATATAAGCAGGAAGATAGACTATTATAAGTTGATGAATGCTGAGGTGCCCATATTCCAATACTTAAAATCAAGAATGTATGCTTATTTATCAGGTACTGGATTTCTTATATATTTTTCTGCTTTGTGCAGAGATAGTTTCTTTTAATTACATATGCCTTAAATGTAGTTCTGTACAAACTTTGTGATTGGAAAATATTACATCACATTGAAATGAAAAAATCTAATCATGAAATGAGTTGAGCTGCTTTGCATGCTGCTAATAAATATTTGAACAAAAATAGTTGCCAAAAAATGACACACGTGTTTTTGGGTGTGTCAGTTTAACTGTTTATGATCAGCACAGCATTTTTTTTGACATACCTCATTTGCTAGATCTTTGTATTACTACATGGATAACTGCTGTATATGGAGCCTGTATAAGGTAATGATTGATTTCACTGTTGGCTCATAGCCTAGAACGTAAAGGAACTGTTGTTTTTTTCTGGATTTTCTATGATTGTCAATGTTTGTTTTGTTCTAGGATGTTCAGAAAGAGAGAGAAACCCACACGTATCTCAGTAAAGAAGAAGTTAAAGAGAAGATTCAAAACTATAATTCATCTGTCACTGACAAATTAAAGATGACCTTGGTAAGATTCACATAGAACTGCTGTAGTTTATAATTGAATAGCTGAATGTAACTCCATATAATGCATTATTTGTCACTTTGTCTTTAGCATTTTTCGTGTGCAACTATGGCTTAATGACTTTGTAGTGTACTACAGGAAAAGGGCCATTTCTTAGCCCTGAAATGTATTTAAGCCACTTTCACCCCTCATTTGTTTGGGGTTAAGGGGATAAGGGTAGAAACCACAAACCTATACATGGTGTTGTGAAAAGTTAACATTTTTAAAATACTCTCAACTGTCAATAAATAAATGGATTCCTTCCATCAGAACCTCTCAATTATACCAGTACAGCCAGCACAGGGAGAAGATGGCTGTTTATTTTTATCAGACTGTCTATAAGTATGTCTCTTATAAAACTACATTACCATGGCACCCAAATATGTTAAATCAAGCAAAAATAACTCTTTTAGTTATGACAGTTTTTACATTAATTTCAGAAAGTTTGATTTCTGGGGATGGTTTTAAGAAGTAGGTTTTCAGTGTGATAAGAATATAAATAAACTTTTTACATAATAAAGAAGTTAAGATGCACACTGATTCTTAACTTCTAAATCTTCTATACTAGTTCTGTGATTAAGTTTATTAATAAAATCCATATTTACCTGGCTAAAATGTTATAACTCAATCTATCTATAAATTGTCAGATCCTTTTATGTTCCATTAGATGTACTGTACATCCAAACTTAGAAGTTCTGTTACATTCTAAATTACTTCATATATGCAAGCCTTATCTACTAAACTGATGTTTATGTATTTTCGTATGGTTTGGAATTAATACTTGTAAAATCACGTTGCCAAAAGCCCTGTAACGCAGTAACATTTGACTAATCACTTGTTTTCAGAACTAATTACAATAAGAAACTTTCCATGTTGGTTAGGTTAGCATAAGCGTTTAGCCTGAGATATTCAAAGGGGTAAGTCTATTAGGCACCCAATTCCCATTGAATTGCAATAGAATTTGGGCATCTAACCCCCTTTGACAATCACAGCTTTAAGCATTGCACAACTGTGTGTGACCTTGTGTTACGTATGTATGCAAAGTTATATTGTAGAGTGTGGTTTTAATATAAAATATATGCAAATATATCTGCACATATATAATATTACAAACAGAAACTCTGTTAAAAACATTATTCCTGTTGCAAAGTCTAGTGCCCAGAAGCTAGGAAATGCCAAAATTTCAGCTCTCTTGTGCATATGCATTATGCAGTCTTCAATGAGCACGTATTCAATATTTTGTCGTCTCATTTTTCAGTGTTTGGCCCCCAAGCTGTATTTATATTCAGAGAGGGTTTGAATAGAATTATTAATTTCCTCACAGGCTTTTCTGTGGCACTTATCACTATAGTATCTGTTTCACTAATATTAATGAAGGTATTTTTCACAACTCCTCCGTGAGGTGAGGGACTAGTATCATCTCCATTTTATAGATGAGGAACTGAGGCACAGAAAGATCACAAGTACCTACTAATTTTGGGTGCCCCATTTGAGACAAAATCGACTTTTCAGAATACTTAGTTAGCATTATATAGCACTTCACATATTCAAAGCACATCTCCCACTGGCTTCCATTGCAGCTGTGAGAGCTTAGCACTTCTGCAAATCAGACCCCAGGGTCTCAAGTCAGACCCCTAGAAAATGAAGAACACACAATTAGTGACCACCTGCGTGAATTTTTTTTGGCTTACATGACATGGCTAGCATCCCATAGGAACTCTGCAGCAGAAGCAGGAATAGAATCCAGTGCTCCAGGGCAGCATTCAACTACCTTAACCCTTGCTTCATTTACTACACACCTTCCAGTTTCTGCAACAAATGAGGTAGGGAACCTTTAGACAATAGCTTCCTTTACCACACAACTCGGACTTATTCCCACAGCCAGTCCGTCAGGAGTCCTGTGGAAAAAACAGATCAGGTAATTAAAGACTGTAACATAATGCATATGCACAAGGGGGCCAAATTAAGGATGTACAGTAACTTGTGGCATTTCCTAATTGTTGAGTGCTTGACTTTGCTACCTTAATAATGCTCTTTTAACACTGTGTGTGTGTGTGTGTGTGTGTGTGTGTGTGTGTGTGTGTGTTTTCCTAGTTTTTTTTTAAAAAGTAAACAGAAAAAACAAATTCCACCATGTTGACATGGGTCATTAGCAGGATTGGAACCTACAGACAGACACACCCACCCACCCACCTGCTACTTGAGCTAATGTAGTAACTGCTAGCAGTAGTAGGATGTCATCCTCTGTGGACCAGCATGCGGAGCAGGGGAAAAGGGAGAACAGATGGATGTGCTTTCCCAGTGAGTTTCACAGTGGGTTTGGCAAAGTTATAAGCAACTTAAAAAAAGGGTCTTGTAATGGGAAATGTTGGGCAACCTTAATATTAGGAATTGCTACCAACTCTGCCTATTTTAAATAAAAAAAAGTATGTGAATGTGTTTGTGGGGAAGTTCATGACTATACTAGTTTGACAATCTCAAAATGTATTCTCTCTAGTTTAGATTTTGTTTCATGTGGAAGTATACCATAGAATAAGTCAAATAAGTGGAAGAGGGATAGGTAAAAAGGAGATGCTTTGGTTTTATTCTTCTTTCATACAGAGTCTTTCAGTGGCACTTTTCTCAAACCTGTTAATTTTTTTCCTTTGTGCTTTAAAAAATATATATTTATATTTAAAATTGAAGGAAACCACTGAACAAGTTTTCATTTGTAAAATTTTGTAAATTTTCTAACATCTGTGTTATGAACTGTAAAGGTTAATTTGAGGTCACAGTTTGAATTACAAGATCTCACATGCTTCCTGACTAATAGGAATAATAAATTTATAATATAAAATAACAAGCCAGTATCTTGCAAACTTATCTCAATTTTTTCCCCAATTTTTTAACCACAGTGTGAGCTCAAAACATGGATTAATTGTTTGTATGCAGTAGTGGGATCTCCACTTTGTAACCTGCCAAAGCAGAGCTCTGGCAGCTTGTTGGGAATACCAGTTCTCTCTCTGCAGTTGTTTCCCCGTTTCCACCATCAGTTTGTAGCCTGGTGAGGCGGCTGCTTAAATTTTCTACCAAGACTGAAAATTTACCATTAGCTTTCATAGGATTATTTGCTTGATGCCTATCTAGATCTCTTAGAATTCAACTGTAATTCCAAAAACTAAAGTGAATTTTGTGGCAGCCATGGAGGAATAGGTGAATGTGTCTGACTGCGTAAAACACTGACTCTTAGAAAAAATATTTGCCTCATGTATCATAGCAGCACATTTTAAAGAGTCCATTGCAATCTGTACTTTATTGCTATTGATGCTGTCATAATAAATAGGTCACTATTAATTTTATAAAATATTGTGCTTGTCTTCCTGCTGCAGAACTCAAATGGGACTTACACTGGCTTCATCAAAGTTCAGATGGAACTATGCAGACCTATTACTGTACAGACTTCTGTGAATCCAGGAGAGCATGCTCACAATAACAATGAGACTTCCTTTTACCTGCCTCCAGGCTACGTGAATAAGCTTCATATAAGCAGCATTAACACTGTTCGTGAAGTTATTGAGGCATTGCTCAAAAAATTTGTAGTGTTTGACAATCCTGCCAAGTTTGCACTTTATAAACGCTGTCACAAGGAAGATCAAGGTATAATTTAGATGTGTTGTCTTTTGATGTTGGAATGGGCAAAGGGTTGGGAGGGGTACTATAGCTATGTTTGAGATGAGCAGGATGGGAGAGGGCAGATACGGGAGAGGTGACGATAACTCTCTCATTTCCATAAATTCAGGTTACAGGTTCTTATTTTGTGCTCTGTGAGAGATGGTGTGTGTGGGGGGATGATGTCTTTTCTGGTTGTGGGAGCAGATTGGCTATTTTTCAGGTATTTGGAGAGTAAGATGAGAAAGCATTATTATCTGAGGAGTGAGGCCCTGGGGTTTGTTCCTTTGTAGAGCCATCTTGGTTTAGGCAATGGATGGTAAGATGTTTTGGGAATAAGGACATAGGGGGATAAGAATATATAAAGAGAAAGGTATTTGTTGTTTTATAATTATACTTACAGGGAATGAGGATTTGCTGGAATGGGTAATAGTATGATGGGAGTGTAAGTCTCTTAGGTAGGTGATGTGTAGGAATAGGACTTTGCAGTTTGTCTGTGGTCCCTCATAGAAAGGAGTGGGGAACCACTCTGAGGTGGCTTCACTCCTATCTAGGAGGATCCAGAGAGTGATTTTTGGCTGACCGCTAGTCTCCTCGAAGATGCTTTTCATTGCGAACGTGAGGTTGCTAGGGTGGGTGGTAGAGACATGAGTTATGGTGGCTGCAATGTACAGGCAGTTGTAGATTTCCATAATGGTGGATCCTGGTCGTACAGTGGAATGGATTGACTCAATATCTGCTAGAAATTGGGACTTGGAGCAGATGTACTTGGTAGCTGGCTGAGCTTTATGATAAGACTGAGATAATAAATTGGAGGAAGCAAGCAGAAGAATTGGATAGTTATATAAACTTATTCTTTTAAAATACTGTTTTAGCTGAATAGCTAATGCTGCAAAAATGAATAGGCATCTATATACTGTCACCTACAGTCTACAATGTGGCTCAGTGTCAAGATAGAAAATATTAATTTCTTATGTTTTTTGACTTATGCTTAGTGATATTGGAAAATAGGTAGCAGTAGAGTTCCAAAGGTAACATTCCCCTGGAATGTAACAGGTGTTTTTTCAGTCTGTTAATGTGCTTGATGTGATTCTCTCCTGGGTTAGTTCATCTGTACACAGAGGAATCTCTCCTTGCACTAAATGCTGTTAAAAGCAAGGAGTGCATGTACATCAGGAAATGCCAAATGAAAAGCAAAAATAGATACTCAAGGGGCATTTTCATTTTGTCAGCTTCTTGCTCTCACACTTGGAATCCAGCTGCTTGAACTGACAATGACAGCAGCCAGCTGAAATATGACACTTCTTGCCAGCAGTCATTCCATCTAAACAGGCAGTGTTGTCTTGTAGACAGTGTGCATGTCTCAGAGAGTGTATGTGGAACCTTCACTGAAGCCTTTTCTTTAGAAGTTCTAATGGCGGTGGCCTGCCACAGCAAGAATTGGACCTCAAATACAAAATGCCAGAAGCTCCAATCCTATAGCTTTCAAATAGGGCCCCCATATCATACAGACATGGAAGTGGAGGGAAGGCTCTTGCTTCCCTCAACAAGATTTAAGCCCTGTGTTTGTCCTCCTGTCACTTAAGGATCCTTGGGATGGGTGAGGGTGGGAAATACCTGTAGCCACATTGTGCCCTTGGACACCCTGTGTAGAATGGTGATGCAGAAGGAAGTCTGAAAATTACCAGCTAATTTCCCAGGTTTAAAACTTTTGTTTCTGTTCTTGTTATGTGCCATTATGCTGCTGGGGTTTTTTCTGTTTTCTTGTTTCTTTTGCATATGCATTAAAATAAATATTAACGTTGGCTAAGAACCAGTTCATTCAGTTTTGAGTGTCAGTTATTGCACTCTATTATGCACAACACATTCTGCTCAGCCTTCCCAGCAACAGCTGTTTGTACAAAAATCTCCCCAGCAGTGCAAAGGTTTCGTAGCTACAAGTGTATATTTTGGGGTGGAGAGTGGATTGTTTGTTTTTTAAAGATTTTGATCCCTAGCACACTTTCTATTAATAGTTGAATATTTTATTTGTAAAACTGAATAATAATTGTAACTTCCCCTTCTGCAGTTTATACATGCAAGCTCTCAGACAGAGAACATCCCCTCTATCTGCGTTTGGTAGCAGGCCCCAGCACAGAAACACTCAGTTTTGTTCTGCGTGAGCATGAAACTGGAGAGGTTATGGTAAGTTACATCTGTGTCTTTTTTGTTTAGCTTCACTGATCTATTAAATACACTCATTCTCTCTCTCTGAAGTGTCTTTTCATGATGATCCATTTTAGCGTCTATATAACTGTACACAAAATTGTGAAATACTGACCAAAAGTAGCTATGCAGGTTATTTCAAGCATGGAATATTAAAGCAGTGAGTACTGCAGTGCAGCTAGAAGAGAGTGTTCGTTTTAGACCCCCTGCCCCCCTTTCACATGGGGTACACCTTTCTGAACAATTCACCTTGGGCTGAATTTTTCTATTCTTGGGCTTTGTTCAAGGCTGAATACATACTTTTGGAGGGAGTACAGGGGAAGGGTGAGCAACATCTCTTAATGTTTTGAGTTCTGCAATGGTGAGAAAAACTTCCCGTTTTGAAAACAAACTCTCCCGCTCCCTCAATACTAAAAAGTTACTGAAATTTAAATTAAATAGTCCTCAAAGCACAGTACATCCACAACCAAGTTTTAAAATAACTGGTTGGATATTAAAATTATTTAATTATGATAATTGAGTATTAAAGTTATTATGTAAATCATTTGTGAGCATACTTGGGTATCTCACATTTTTAGCAGCATTTAATCAAAAGCCCCACTCTCTTTGTGACATCACAATGTACATTTTCCCTGCCTAACCTGGCCAGGAGGTTGGCTGGTGCTCTTAGGCTGCTACCGGAATGGTTTGCATCACAGTGATTTGTAAATATTTCATTGAAACAAAATCTCCTCCACCCTCACCTCCAAAGCAGATCCCACTGGGAATCAACAATTGGAAATGGTTAGGGACTAGGGACGAGTGTATCTCTAGTCACATGAATAGTCCCACTGTTAACCATAGTTAACCAGACAACTACAGCAACTGCAAAGGTTGGAATTCTTCCCTCCCAATCCTTTTACCTCAGTCAGATGTGAAGTTCAAAGCCTACTTGGGACCATGTCAATACTAATATTATTAAGCATCAGACCATTTAAAAAAAGAGTTTTTTGCATTTCATTTTCTTCTATGTCAGTGCAATGTTTTTAAAGTTCCAAGTTGTAATTTAAATTGTCAGTAACCATGAAATTTAATGTAAATACAGCAACATTAACTGCTACTCTGCACATTCTGTATAGTTTATAGTATATTGCCATTTGTCAAAATGTATACTACAAGAAAAACAGGGATAGAAATTTATACATATGTGTAACGTGGCCAAATTGACGTTTCTGTAGGAAACTTAACTTTATATTTCCTTTTTATTTTAACTGTGCAAATTGTGTTAACTTGGCTTTTGTACACCATATAGCAGGAGTAGTCAATTATTTTTTGCCAAGGTCCACGTTTCTTGGTCAAGGTATAGTCCAGGTCCAGACTCCAGAAAACATAATTAAAAAAATAACAATAATAAGTAAATAAAAAGATTCCGGGGTCAATTCAAAAGTGTTGGTGGTCCTGATTTGGCCTGTGGTCTGCCTATTGACTACCCCTGCCATACAGTAACACTTTTATTAGGACGTAGATGAAATTACTTAGTTCCAATTTTCATTCATTGACTTCGTTAGGATTAAGTGGCTACCATCAAATTAAAACTCAGTCTTGTGTCTGGAAATGCATTGTATTAATGTATTATTTGTTACAGGTAATGTCTAGTAATGCTGTAAAAGAGTGTAGAGAAATTTTTTTCTGTTTTTTCCCCCCCCATTGTGTTTATTTTGTGGATTTGCAGACACTTCCTGAGTAGTTAGATTCCCCATTGTTCCTCACAGAACAGAGAAGAGAAACGTTTAAAAAAGAAAAAAATGTTTGCAAAACCACAGAAATTGGCAGGAGGGACCTCCAGCCTAGTATGAAAAACTATTTTTAGCTCTTCTCTTGATGCAGAATAGATTTTGAGTTGACAGTGTCTCTCTAAAAATACAACCTGAGTAACTTGTGTATTTCTGGTTCACTACATCAGTCTTTCCCATTTCCCCCCCCCCAGTGGGAAGCCTTTAGCCTTCCTGAACTGCAGAACTTCTTGCGTATACTGGACAAAGAGGAAGATGAGCAACTACAGATCTTAAAGAGGCGTTATGCAGCCTACAAAGACAAACTTGAAGAAGCCCTTGGTGGGGTGTGGAAACCAGGTTAAAGTGGGGCCAAAGAACACTCAGGAAAAATGCCATGGAGCATGCCAAACCCAAATGTACAGAACAGCAGCAAAGATTAGTTTTCTTTATTCAGAAGACTGGTTTGTCAAGCGAGGGTTACCTGTACTTTTCTATAGATTTAGACCCATAAATCAGGGCACTTAGAGTCTTGCACCTATAAGTAAGGAATTCTGCATGTTTGTACATCAACTTGCAATCCCCTCTTGTGCCTTAGAGGGCTTTCCAGGTTACCTTTGTGTAAGCTCTGAATCTGTTATCTAGGATGCTAACAAATAAGAATTTTTTTACCTCTTTTTATTATTTGCTTTAATATTAATGATAGCTTTAAAAGTAAGGAAGTGCAAATTGATCATTTTAAAAATTAATAAAACCGCTTAGCCATGTGTGAACAAAAATCAGATTGGAGCACTATGTTTGAGGTTAAATAGATTTGCACTACCTTTCTGTTTTCAAATATTTACTGTGTAATTTGTGAGAAAACAGTTATAGGTGGAAGGGATGTAAAACCTTTGAGGTTCTGTGAAATTGTGGAAGGTTTTAAAGTAGTCTTACTGGAGAAAGTAAAGAGCAAGTTGAAAAGAAGGCAAGAGTTGAGGAAGTGCTGTAATAGCTGATGGAAGATTGATGTAGAGTGGAAATACAAATATAGAAGAAGAAATGGAATTTTATTTTTCATAGTGAGTAGTTATAAAAAAGTTTTAGGATGTTCTAATATTGTGAATAAGTTTTTAGAATTGTGTACATTCTCACTAGAATAGAAATGAGGATAGAAGGAAGGAAGGAAGCTAAGTATTAGTGGAAATTAAACTGCCTATAGCGAAGAAGCTAGTTCCTAAACATGTGAAAGCATGCGTGGTTTGAGATGTGCAACAAACTTAATGAGCTGTTACCTGCTTGAATTTTGAAACGTGGGTAGTGAGTATATCTCATTTTTATAAGGAGCACCCACCTAATTGGTCACTGAATGTCTAGGTTAGAAATATAGATGCAGGTACACTGGTTTAACTGAAATCAGATCTTTCAACTGAGGACAAAGAGCCATTTTTTAGGATGGACAATTTGAAATTGTCCAATCTTATGAAGACATGAAAGCATCCTCCACTAGTGTGTTTACTTAAAGAGAAGTAGAATTTCTTGTTTGTATTTCCAAGGAAGCAGAGAATTAGAATATATTGGTCATGTTGTAGATGAATGGCTTAATAACTCCAGTTCTGGTCATTTGAATTTTTTTCTAATAATTATATTTTTTAAAAATGGTCCAACAGCTAATTACCAAATTCTGTACACTGCTGATTTACTTGATTAAGAGTAGGAAAAAAATGTAGCAAAAGAAAATTTTGTACTTTACTGTAAATTTAATTGTTATTCTTTCAGAAATATTTATCTAAAGAAGCACGTTCAAAGATACCAAAGAAATGGGTGTGCAATAAAAGCATGAAGAAGGTTTGAATAACTGACAAGTTTTAGTCATAACCACATGGGGTGTGTGTGTCAGGATTTATGCTAGTAAAGAAATGGATAAATAGTGATGACAATTCAAGAACAGCAGTTGTTTCTCTTACCGTAAAGATGTTCATTGTGAATTCCCAAGGAATAGTTGACACTTTGGTGACACCTAGTGGATACGCTGTGAAACTCCAAACTGTTTCTGTTCTTTATATGAATTTGACATAATTGTGCCTTTTTGGAGGGGGGGGGAGGGATATTTTTTGCAAACACATCAAGACAATCATACATTTTAAAGTGTTAAGAGAACTTAAAAAGTAGGACTAACTATAAAAATATATATGGTATATCTTGTTTGTTTTTATTTTATTTCACATGTAACATTGTAGGGCATGTGGGACGTTTATCATCAAAGTGAGACACTTTACCACAATGGTTCAGGGAGTACTTTTACATTTTGTTAACATTGTTTTTCTATAAATACTACAGCATATGGATGGGTATTCTATTAACATCCACTTAATTTATGTAGTGTTACCCATAACAATGTAATCATTAGATAATAGTTAACGTTGAACCATTTGTTCTTCAGATTTCAACACTGTTTGAGTCTGTAGTTTATAGATATGTGAATTTTTTTACTTGAACTAAATTATCTGTCTTTAAAGTGGGCATCTTCATTTGCTTTAGCCAAAACCTCAATCAGTGTCTTATGCACTACAAGTTTTAATTTGGAAATAAAACCTTACTGTATTTTAATTTTGTCTTAGTCCACAGTTAATTGTTAAGACTGTTTTGTTTTATTTTTTTACACACTGGTTACTACAACAGCTTTAATTTAAAAGAAATGGTCAAATCTGGCCCATTTTTTTGTTTTTAATTTTATTATCAAATGATCAAGCTGTCAAAACTTTGTTACAGAACTGTTTTGTATTCATTATGTGATGGTACCAGAATTATGATTAAATGACCTGGGGGCAATGCAGGGAAACCTTTAAAATTTATGTCTTTAAAAAAAAAGTTATACTATTTATAATTTTGACAAGTTTAATTTTATTTTTATAGGGAAGTTTTTATTCCCCTTGATGTTGTTATTGAAATGGCAAATGATAGTTCCATTATTAAAGTTGAAGTTGGCAGTACTTTGTCATTTGTGTGGTGTTTATTTACCTTGCTAATATTGTATTACCTGAAGTTCATGCTGTGTTCATTTAATGCTAAATAAGACCTCTTTATAAGGAAGGTACTTGGCAAAATACAGCCTCCTTTTAAGCACAAATTAAGCTTTATTACTCTGGGGGGAATAATGCGCCAAAAAAAAAATTCTGCGCACAATATTTTAAAATTCTGCAAATTTTATTTGTCAAAATAACACTACATAATCATGGCAGTTTCAATTATTTTGATAATTTATTTCAAAATATCTGTCAGCAAGTATGTCTGTAACAATACACACACGCACAAATTCCCCCAGGAGGAGAGAGTTAAAGAAACCCCTATGACAACCCAGTTCCTGTTTCTCTGCCCTCTCCCCTCCAGAGCCCAGCCAGGGGGCCAGACACCTGCAACCCCTCCCCCCAGAGCCCAGCTGCAGGGCCCCCCATTGTCCAGATACCCACACCTCTTTCCCCCCAGAGTCCAGTCATAGGGCCCCCCAGCGCAGACACCCACCCCCACTCCCCTAGAGCCCAGCTGCAGGGTCCCCGCAGCCCAGACACCCACCCTCTCTATCTCTCAGAGCTCAGGGATCCAGAGGGAAAAACAGCCTGATGCTCAGTCCCGGGCTTGTGTGGAGTTTCCTGCACACCACTGCCTCCTTCCTTCAGGGCATGCTGGGAACTGAAGCTGCCAGGAACCCTCTAGCTCTCTCCCCCTTCCCCGGCAGTGTCTTCTATGTGAGAGTTGAGCTCTGCTGGGTCCAGCGGCCTCTAATGCAGGCCAGCAGCACTGCAGCCCATTTCTGTGGGGGAAAGGAAATTTTGCATGCACATTAATTTCTGCAAAATTCTGCATTGTTCAGTGGTGCAGAATTCTCCCAGGAGTAATTTATATGAGACAAGAAATATTTACTTTGATATATATATGTGCACAGTATAAAGTTATTTTTTATTTTGGCTCCTGGTTTGATTAACAATATAAGCACTCACAGTGGCTTAGTTGACAGTGTTGGATTAGGATTCTGGAGATTTAGGTTCTGTTCCCACCTCTGCTATTGTCATCCTGGGTGACGCTGGGCAAGTCACTTCACCTTCCTGTTCCTTAGTTTTCCTATCTGTAAGATGGAGGTAACTAGGAACAGGGAGGTGAAGTGTAAAGCACTGTGAGATCTAATGATGAAAAACGCTACTTAAAAGCTAGCTGCTATTTATTTATTTATAAAACAAAAGAAAAATTCCTTGTCTCCTAAGAATCTTGTTAAGAAAAGGCTTAATTCAGTACATTATTTTCTAGCACCAGCACTTGGATTAAGGGTGCTTTGAATTTGTAAGGGACACGCTCAACTCAAAGGTGACCCAAAACGTAGGTTTTGGAAGAACATGATTTTACAAAACATAAGAGCAGAAGAAATATTTTCATGGATTGTTTTCTTTAAAATTCCAATAGAAAGGGTAGTTTTTAACAAAATAAACAGGTTTTTTGGTAATGGTTGTAACTCTAAACATTGCAACATTGAGATTTTGTCACTGTCCAAATTGATGATAAAATGGAAAAAGTAAACAAACAGCTAAACAAACAGCAAAAACAACAAGGGATTGGAGTATTTCAAATTATCTGGTTTTAATATTGTATTAGTATCATGATTGAAGAAACTGACATTTGAAATCCTGTTTTTAAACAGTGTACCTCTTAAACCATTAAAGGACATAAAAGTTAAATTATTTTAAAATCTGCTGTCCTTTAAAATTTATTAAACCTTAAATGCTAATTTTCTATGTTTTTAATTTTGATGACAAAATACTAGTCAAACTTTTAAATTATAGATGAGAGAACCATCGAAAAAGTGTAGAGGGTGGATTATTAAAGCATGGGTGGTTTGATTTTAAATCAGTGATTTAAAGCACCAATTTTAATCATGACAAGCAGAAAACCTTAATTTAAATATTTGATTTTAGCCTTATTTTGCATTGGTACTTTTTAGTTATTTTCCTAAAGATAAGTTCATTCTCGCTGGTTGGTATAACTATTACAAAATGTTGATTTGCAATCAAACATGGCCTTTGTACTAAATTTGGCACTTATTGCTAAACAGGAGAACACTATCTATACACATTTAAGTAATTATATAGCATAAAATACATCTATTCCTTTTCTTAATTTTTAAATGTTTTATGTTAGAGAATGGTGAGTAACACCTTTCTTATTTATTAGATAATGTTTGTTTACTGATGATGTGTGTCAAGACGCATTTGGATAGAAATTGAAATTCAATTAAATGTACAAAAAATTGAGCTAAATAAAACTACATTAAATGTGCTGGATATGTAAGAAAAAAAGTTTAGGTAAACAAGTTTTGCATTTAAAACTACCTGATTTATTAAACAAAGGAACTATTAAGTATAGTTAGTGAATTGACAGACTGGTTCTGGTCACTGGGGCCAGATTTTCAAAGGTTTTTAGGTCTTTAAAGATGCAGATGGGTGCCCAGTGGAATTTTCAAAAGTATCAAAGCAGGGTCATGAATTCATAGAGTTTAAGGCCATCAATGAAAACTTCCAATTCCTCTTGCTTGCTACCTAGACTCCTAGTATTGGTATATAAGCATTTGAAAAATGTCTTCCATTTTAAATCAGTGGGAGTTAGGTGCCTAACCTTCATTTAAAAATCCCACTAGTCACTTATCTGCATCTTTTGGTGCCTAAATATTGTTGAAAATCTCACTCCATGAACTTCAATTTTTTTAGAACTAGCAGATCTCATCCTCTCCCACTGGTTTTTATTCATAGATTGGAAAAGAAAAACAGGTTTTTCTGCTCTTTCAACTCCCAGTTTCTCAACTTTTAATTAACAAGTCCAAATGATGAAAATACTCTCTGCATCTGCTAGCAAAACTGAAACCAAATGTAATTAAGGGAAAAGCTTTTCTGCACAAACGGAAACTGAAAGTACTGACTTTTGGAAATATGTAAATGTCATCCTTTGTGCCACCGTAAAGACTGAAAATAATGTAGAGACTGAATGTAATATATGACATATGTATAAAACTTGATTTGACCTCAAAAGTTAAGATGTTTTTCTCCCGATTCTGTATGTAAATAACAAAGGAGAACTCTTTAACTCAATTGGCAGAGGTAACTTTCTTGCTGTCATTGCAAATGTTATTGGTATTTACCTTTTGCCGTCGCCTATTGATCCAGAGCCATTCATGTAGATCCTCATTTATTTTTACTTTTAAGTTCAGTAATGTGTATGTTTTCTGAGAAGTAATTGTACTTTCTTCTTTGAGGAGTGTCCCTGTGGGTGCTCCACTTTAGGTGTCTTGGCGCCCTGTGTTTCTAATCAGAGATTTGTAGTAGCAGTCTCTACAGCCACCTAAAGCGGAGCACCCATAGGGACACTCCTTGAAGAAGAGAAGGTTACTCACCTGGTGCAGTAACTGAGGTTCTTCGAGATGGTTGTCCCTGTGGGTGTTCCACTACCCTCCCTCCTCTCCTCTACTTCAGAGTTTCACGTCGATCCTCTGGGGTAGAGAAGAAACCGGGGGATGGTTGGCTGCATGCACGGAGCAGTGTGAGGTGGCTGCCCTGCGTGTGCAGCCAACTACTACAGGTCTCCAATTAGAAGCACAGGGCACCAAGACACCTAAAGTGGAGCATCCCCAGGGACAACCACCTCGAAGAACCTCAGTTACTGCACAAGGTAAGTAACCTTCTCATCAATACATTTTCTATATTCATGTTGTAGCAGCAAATAAAGAACGTTAGTTGGTCTCATGCACAAGAAAATGTGCCACACGTTTCTCAGCTGAAATTACACAAGAGAAACATTGCTAAAAAGAGTATTTAAATCAATATAGTATTAACCAGTACAGTATTAATGTTTTAATAAGTTGAGAGCTCGTCACAGTGAGGCTAATGACTGACCTGACCCTGGACTCCCTACTTGGACAAAACTCCCATCAAAATTCCCCTCAAAGCCAATGAAAGTTTTGCCCACACAAATACTTCAGGAAAAGGCCCCAAATAGCTGCACGTAGGGTATCTTTTAATCTGGGCCCTGCGTACTCCACCGCAATATGAATTTATTCATGAAATACTCTTTATTCCCATTTGTTGCCTCTCCCTAAACATGACTAATATCAATTAGTGTTATTAACTAAGCAACATAAAATTCATTGATGAAATATTTTCAACAATGGTATTTTGGAGGATGGATTTTTCAAATGCTGTCCAGGCAGCTCATCTCCTGCACAGTTGTTCATGCAGCCTGACTTAAAATCTCCCTTATGTGTGCCGGGGATTAGGGGCGCTTTGGCAGGAGTGGAGGTTAAGATGGAACAGCTGCAGGCAATGATGCCAGTTGCATCTTTTGCGGGCTGGGGTGGGGTGGGGAGGGGTAAATTATAAGATATTCAAATAAAGAGGGAATTTCAAATTGAAAAAAAAACTTGACTGTTTAAACAGCAGTCTTCTTTGTAATAGCATCATACATATCTGAAGGCTTTATTTTTAAAGAGAACTTTTTTCCATTCTTACAATCTAACTAATTCTTCTGCTTGGTGCCACAGCACAGTCACAAACTTCTCTTAGGGTCGTCTAGTGCAATGTTGAAAGGACTGTGATTATCTCAAATCTGTGAGATCTGCTGCATGATTATAGAAAATTAGAATATAAAGAGAGGTAAACAATTATTTTTAACAAACATGATTGGAATGGAAATTATGAAAAACACACAACAGTGAGTTTGTTTCAAGATGACTGTGATGGGGCGGCTGCCCCTCACTGGCAGAAAAGGGGTTAAAAGCAGCCCTAGGGAGGCTGTGCTGGAGGCAGCCAAGCAGAGGAGTTCAGCTCTCTGATGGGAGCCCAGGGAGGAAGGACTGAGTCTCTGGAGGGCTGAGAACTGCCAGCACCCTGAACAGAGCAATGCTGCTAGCAGGACCAGGGGAGTGAGAGACAGCTCCTGGCTGGCTGCTGGGGTTTGC